ATCAGGGTAATAAGATCTGTAAAGCGCCGAGAGAGGGTATCTCCTAATAAGCGCTAAATAAATCTGGATTATTATTATCATTATTAATTGTGATATTAAGCAATTCTAAAAAAAAGTTTTTGTGATAACTAAAATAAATAAAACTAGATTATTGCATGATTCTTTTGTGCAATATCACTTTGAATCATATTGTCATAAATATTCAAAGTCCCTGATGGTTTTCATGTGTTTCATATGAAATTGTGAACCCTGCATAATATAAAGAGTCTGCAGTGACTTAGCTTTAGAACTGATTATGAATGCATAATGTGACATTCTTCATCAAAAGATCGGTCCTTTTGTCTCTATTTATACAAGCAAAAATTCATATAACAGGAAAGAAGCGCACGCATGATGCTGAGAGGCAGTCGAATGAGGGTGGAACTCCTCTCTCTGTGTTAAACCATCCAGATTATCAAGTGTTGTGTCTGTCTGATGGACATGTGTTGAGTGATAACCACTCTCAACAGAAGCTCAAAGTAAACCCTAACTCAAACAGATGCACAACTATTAAAAGAGAGCGACACTTAGATGATGGTTACAGCTGACTAGTTGAAACCAAGTGCTGGTTAAGTGATTGGTGAGGTGGCACTAGGTGTGGTGTAACAGACTTATTGTTCATGGGGGTTGGTGGGGCCCCCAAAGGGGTGCATGGGGTAGTTAGGGAAAGGAGAGAATTAACAGGAAAAAGACTAATTGATCTCATAGACGCTGGTGGGGTAGTTAGGACAAAAATAGGGTAAAAGGCTGATCGGTCCTTTTGGGTAGGTCTGGGCGTAGTTAAGAGAAGATAAAAATAGGGTAAAAGACTGGTGGTCTTGGAGGTTGGTGAAGTAGGGCCTATGGTGAGGGTAGTCATGAAAGAACAATAAAGGAGTAAACAAAAATAACAAATAAATAATACACAACATAAACACACTTTGGAATACAGCATAAGCAGGGATCTCTGCAGCAAGATTTGAATTGATCAACAATCTAATATGGGGTTCTATTTCCACACTCTCATATCTTGACCGAGATGTTGAGGATAAACATAAGACAATTTAATTCTGTCTCTAAGATTAGTAATGCAAAAGATAGAGATTGGAAATGTAGAAAATAGGGATATTATAATATCAAAGAATCACTCTCAGCTTTTGAGTATTGTACAACCAAAAAAGAAAACAAAACCTAAATTTGATGTTTTCAATCTTTTTGAGTAACTTTATATGGCTATGAAGTCTAAGTAAGCGTTGGGTATAATTGTTTAAAAATATCACTATAACAGTACAGAAGCTGTTGTCAATGAGAAAAGAAGAGAAGACATGAAAGGGTGGGCATTTGTATTAGAAACCAATTTTTGGAATGGCAAGCATCAAAACTACTATCTGTCTTATTTCCTTATATTTCTAAACTTCAAGCAACTAATTGGTGAAATTATAGAGTGGAAAGTGTCCATGCTGTTTGAATAGCGGAGGAATGTAGAGTTTAGATGTAGGTCACCTTCTCTCTATGTGTCACGTATAGGTGAAATGTTACAGCTGCAATATTTCAGCCATTGCTATTAATATGCTGAAATCATTATAAATAAATTAAAAATAATCATGAATCAAAATTTTATGAAAGCAGCAATATATCTAATTGGAAAAATCACATGCCAAAGGGCTCCCTGTCACAGCAAGGATACATTTTCTCCATTATCTGCATATCAAGACAAAGTTTAGAAATATTAATCAAAAAAATTGTTCATGTCAGAGAAGGAGCATACACCTCTTTCCACCCACGATTTTGGCTTTCAAATCTTTCCCTTAAAGAATCTGACACAATTTTGATCTAAATCCCGTCCTTTTCTTGTAATGCTCCATTAAACCAGAACCTCCCTAGGTAGCTATCCTTCATCGGGTCGTTATTCTCGCTTTGTTTTCTTCTACTTGGTGTTTTAAGCCTGCCCTCGCTTGATCTCACAACAAAAGGGGTGTGTTCATAACCTGGGTTTCTGTTTGGACTACCTGGGAATGGAGCTCCAAATCGGCGGTATGTTCCACAGAAGGTTCATGGTACAAATTGGTGAGAAACACAGGTCTGATACATTCACAGCAGATCATAAATATGTGAAATAAAAATAGTAGATTGTAGAACATGAAAATATCATCCTAACCAGACAATTTCATCTTGTTTGCCTGCCATCAGGTCTGTTACATCAATCTAGATGATTTCATCAGTCAAACAGCAAAAGGCAGTCATGGCTTCATATTCAATGTGTATTCAACAATTATCGCATTGTATATCTATAAGGCTATTAATACATGGCTTAGTTTGGGATGAGACGTGGTGTATCAAAGACATATATCTCCCTTTCATAATCAATTCCAAATCGTATCGATGGTATGAGAATTATGCTGTCTGCTGCACTGCATTCAAAAAGTCTTGTAATAGTACCTTGCCGCTCAACCATAAGCTATAAACCTATATATATAGTTATATACAATATTATAACATGAATGGCACAGGGAAATTGTGAGAATGAGGCAGGTCCTGAGTGAAAACCATAGCAAAATATGGATGGAAGATTCATGTGCTCTGGAAGCCTTATAATAAAGAAAGAGAGAGAAATAGAGGTGGAGGGAAGGAAAGATTGCGACAGACAGAGCATCACAGAACGACAGAAAATGGTAAGAGAGGGACAGAAAGAGAGAGAGAGAGAGAGAGAGATGGGCAGAAAGATGGCGGCAGACGGACAAAGAGAGAGAATGAAAAAAAGAGATGAAGAGAGAGAGGAGATAGAGAAAACTGAGATATTGAGTATAACAAAAACAGGTGCATGAGGAAGAGTATGAAAGTGGAAAAGTGACATCATACCAAATTAAAGAAATAAAAGTAAAGAGAGAGAGAGAGATTTCTGTTTGAATCAACAAATATGATCTTGATATATCGTTCATCCCTTCCTCTTCCTCAAAGCAATTTCTGTTTCTCTTTTCATTCAATCCTCTCTCCTCTTCAAATAAAGCTTTAAGGGGGAAAAAAAAGTCATCCTCATCAAGTTGCTAGCTTTTGGTATTACTGTACAGACTGAGTTTCTGCCTAGTTTCTTATACTGTTTCATGCCCTGTAACTATACAACATGATACTCAATATTCGGTATCCACACACTGCATCCCCAACAACGTATCTTTCACATTAAGGAAATTGCACCCCTACCATTTTCATTTCCCTTTCCGCATTTGTTCTTTCCAATGAGAATGGTTGAAACACACACCCACAAATCTATGTATGTCATGTATTTCACTTTAACATCAAACTACTGATCAACTGTAATGACTGGCGTGATATCTTTCTATGACGGCCTTATTTGCTGTAGTAGACTTGAACAAACCACCCCCCCCCCCCTTTTTTTCGGTTGAATATGCCGTTTTGTGGCATATTTTCATTAAGGAAAGATGTTTTCACCTTAAGCAAAGAGAGAGTGAGAGAGAATATCAAGGAAAGAGAGTGGATATCCAACCCTCGTTTCTTCAGGGTCTCAGTCATAGGGTGTCAGTTAATACCAAAGCCTTCCATTAATACTGGCTAAAATCACAAAACACAAGTGTCATTCTTCCATCATCATTTTTTGTGATGCCCACTATGATAAATGTTCTATAGCCACATACCTGTAAAGTGTTTCTCCGTAGAGACATTTCCTCTATAAAACTCAGATTATATTTGTGTTGCCTTGTTGTTATTTTCTGCCCATTCATGTTCTCCTCTTCAGTGTAGCATGGACTTATAGCACCCCAATGCCGTTCATACTTCAACAGTGTACCAAGGAGTACTGAGTAGGATGCAGCCCTGTTCATACTTGAACCATTAACTGTGCTATCTGGAACCGATTCACACTTTAAAGCCTACTTCGGATTGTTGCCCGATCGTTGCTATGCACCTTACAATGCTTCCATATCTGCATTTTATTTATCACATCCTTACAACGTTTGCCAGATCTTTGATTAAATCAAAATAATAAACTTGTAAAACAAAAGATTTGTTATCAACTTCTTTATCATGCAACTCTTTAGAAATGGGTCACTTTAAAAAGTTCAAGTTGCAAACTGCTCTGGAGTGTGTCAGGGGAAAAACGTGGTTTACAAGGAACCTTAGCGGAACCGAAATAAGAGCGATTCCGCTATCGTTACGCATGAATGCTCACAGATAACACTTTGGGGTGAAGGGCGAGTCAAAATCATTTAAAATGGTCAAACTTATCCCAAAATAAATTGCATTTTATCACCTCATGTGATAAATCAAGCCCAGTTCATGCCTGACAAAAGTAATAAAATAAACGGTGCCCATTTAGAGATCATAAAGTCAGGATCAATGACAAGGAAATAGGAACAATTTCTGGTCATGTTCTGCATGACTGACATAGAGGAAAAAGATGTAGTCGAGGGAGGGTTTGTTGAGTGTTAGGAAGGACTCTATTCCTACACCTTGTCTGACTGTATGCTGATGCTAGCTGACTCACTCTACCACCAGCCCCACCGACAAGGCAATCACAAGATATTAAGATATTTGATTTTTTTAAATGATAAGGACAAACAGGAGGAAATCTAAATGTGTTCATTAAGTCACTTTGGGTTGGAAAGTATAAAGGGTTAAAAGTTCAATAAAACAGTTTTACTTTTAGAACTAAATTTAGGTGTTTTACTGGGTAAAACAAAATAGGTAATAAAACTAAGTGATGCATTCAAAGTCATTTTTATTTGATGGTTTCAGCAAAGTATTTTGTGTCAGTTTATGATTAAACAAAGTACCTATGGATATAAGTCATGGATGGGACTGTAAAAAGGCTTAAAATATGTGCTATAAGTAAACCAACACACAGAAAACTTCAAGTTGCCAAGCAAACAGAGTATAACTGTTATATATAATACTAAGAATTGTGAATGTAATATTGAATATTGATTTGGTTAAATGTACAGATATGAGTAGAGAGAAATAGAACTTACTGTCGGTGCCGTTTGAAGTCACAGAGCAGTTATTACTATCAGGTGAGTTTGCATGCTGGGGAGAGCTCCCATTAGCATTAGATACTTGGCTGTGCGGACTCGACAGCTGCTGGATTTCGAGAGACCTGTAAAATAAAAAATTTAAAAAAACTTGTAAAAACTTGGATTAAATACTAAATCAATAATTAACCAAAATAAAACATTTTGAAACCAGATGGTTCCTTGAAAATTAGAGTAAGAAATACATTAGTATTTGATATTTTCAAGATCATTCAGCATGCAAATAAACAAAATTTTAAAAAAGGAAGTGTAAAACAACAAAAGATAACAAAAAATAAAACATTTTATTAAACCTTATTCCCTGTATAACAAGGAAATAGATTTGTAGAATATACTCTTTCATGTTACACAATACATTTGAAGTATAAGAAACATTAAATTCAAATGATATTATTTTTCTATCTTTGTTTTTCTTGTTGTTACAGACACTTGGACAGAGCCTTGTAATACTGAAGATACAAGGGTAATAGAAATGGGGAATACCTTATAATAATGATCCATTAGTAAAGCAGCCTTAACCTAGTTTGAAGTTGTCCTGCTGTTTGTACCATTATAGCACGACCTACATCTCATACCACATGGTGCGCCCCACATATCCCCATGTATCCTATCAAAATAAAAACTAGATTTTTGTTCCGATTTAACAGAGTATGACCAAAAGAAAACTACATAGAGATAACAGCAGGGATTACATTAGTGTTCTAATTCTGTTAGCAAGTCTTTCGATTTGATGATGTTCTCTTTCGATAATTGCTTGTCAAAGCAAGAACTCGTGACCAGAAAGCATATTAATATGGGCATGTATATTGTGAGTGACTGGACTTAAACTGAATTACTCCTTAAATAGTTAAAGGCCAAGGGAAGACACAAACATATCCATCTATAATCCATTGTAAATCTGGAGAGATAGATTTGCTGATGATTTCTGATTAGTTTTAGTCACTTTTGTTTCAGAGGTGTAATGGTATTACATGTACAATGTGTGAAAACAAGGATTTATTAAATTCAAGTCCAGTCTCTTTAACATCACCAATATCTTGGTTGTGAGATGATAAAACCTTAAGTTCTCAACTGTCTGAATCTTGACTTGTTCTATTCCAATATGTTAAATATCTACTAATTGTACTCATGAAGTTGGTCTGGTATCTTCTATACAGTGATGAATACATCTGAAAGTAACCATCTATTAATAGCCAGCAATAATATTTATTTAGTGAAGAAGAAGTACTGTAGCCTTTAAAGCAAATAATATCCTGACCACACTCCCTTAAAGCCTCTTATCATAAAATCAAATATTGATATACTTTGAACTTCTATTGCACTTTTCCCATTCATTCCCAAACCTTTATCTGTTCTTGTCATCTTAATTTGGGTTTTCTTAATACCACTGTTATTACTTGGAAAAATATTACCATGACAACAAGATATCTATATCAAACGTTGAAAGGAAATCTCTTAAGACTGTAACAACCATGTTTTAATCCAATTAAAAAAGATTCCAAGACTACTGCAAATAATTTCAATACATGGTAGATTACAAATATATATAATTAAGCCTACATTGTTCTAACTTTCAAATTACAGTACTATATTTAAATAAAGAGGTACTGTCTCAGCAATATGATTATTTGAGTGAGGATAATGTAGAGCATAATAGACTTTAAACTTTATCAAAAGCTCTTTTTCAAGAAATGCACTTCATATATTATGTAAGCTATACTTTCAGACTCTCCATTGAGTCTTTGGTAAAGACTGCAGGCATGTTGTATAGCTCTCTCGGTGAAGAGAAGAGAACAATGATTTACTGTGTTATATCTACACATTAAATGGAAGGTCTAACCCCATCAAGGTGATTTAAGCTAGACAGCTCTACTAAACCTGAAAGAATCATCTCTAAATATGATTTACTTTCCTTCAAATTACTTTACATACATGGGAGGACAATTACAGAGTTCAAAATATAATTGGCATGGCACTTTGCCAAATAGCACATTCAATAATTTTTTTATTAGGTAAAAAATATAAAAAGTTTCAATTTTGATTGGTAGCATAAATTCTGTGAGATTGTAGATGACAGTTATTGTTGTCATTTTGAACTTGAAATAATAAGTCTCTCTATTCTTCTTCTTTCTCTCCCTGAAATATATCTCGTGTATAACAACTTGACAACATAAAACAAATCAATAATGTCTATTCGTGATCAAGTACTTTTTAATTAAAGAATTTGGATTGTAACAACACAAAACTGCCAGCTTTGTGGCAGATATACATCATATACTGTAATTAAATGCTTGTTGACAATTTTTTTAGAGTGGATCTGAATAAGCCCTTGCAGTATAACATTTGATTCAATTTCATAATTTATCCAAACTTCCAGTTTTGCTTGGACAATCTTCGGTTTCCTTTTTAACATAATGCTATAAATATATCTTTTGTTGAATCTTTAAAAAAAACCTGGATTGTCTAACAACTTCAATTGATTGCTACACTTCATTTTGATTATATTTGCCTGTAGGACAACATATAGAAAATAATGCTTGTTAACCATGACACTGTTTTAGGCAGTTTTGACAGCAACACCTTGTCTCTCCTAAAATACAATTTATTTTAAAAGGGCCTATGTCATGACTGAGTCACTGAAATCTTTCTATGCCAATTCTATTCTCCTAATTCTTGTTTACCAACCCAATATTGTCTTTCATCATACCATTCCAACTTTCTTGGTAATAATTTTGAAGTTGAGTCATTCCATCGTTCACTCATTCATTCCTCCCATTGAGCCTCCTTTCATCCAATCCCATTCTCTTACTTCCAATCCTGACATTTGACCTCCTTCAGAGTGCAACTTGTGATCAAACTGGGTTAAGCAATTTACAAAAACTTCGGCTCAAAATGCCCCGCAAAATATGACATTTGGCCCCTGAAATATGTCAATGAATAGGGAGGAGAAGTAAAGTATAATTGCTCTTTTTAGATGTCAAATTCTGATTGATTTAATCAGTCACTGCCATCTCCTTTTCTTTTTATGTGACATGTAAGAGATTGTGAAGTCTTGAGAAGTATATTATACATGGGGTCAGAGGTTAAATGTCCCCATGCGACTCTTACAAATTGAAGTTGCTTTGAAATGTAAAAGTCATGATTGCAAACAAACTTTAACTTAAAGGATTTATCTTTAAATGATTGAGCTTAATGAAATATCATAAAACTTAATGCAGGGTAATGGCAACTTAATGGTGATAAAATATAATTAGGATTGATATTACCTAAATCACATGGAGTACAAGGTCATGATAGCATGACAATGATAACAAAGATATAATAAATCAATTCCCTTTTAACTTAAGAAACATGGTTAAGGTATGGGCAGGTATATTAGAAATGTTTATCAAATATAAAATAATTATAATTTTGTGACAAATATAGGTAAATAGCAGCACAATACTACCAGTACCAAGGGCGGAGAACCTTCGGTACACTCTAGTTCCTCTGTTGTATTTATCTACATAAATGACTACCCATACTAAATCCAATATTAAAGGTATAACACGTTTGCAGATTATAAGCACCACTTTATATATTTTAAAAAGATCCACTAATTTTCTGTGATTGTTTTAAATACTTATTTAATCCGAATCAATCAGGTAGGTGAAAAAATGGATCTTAAAGAAACCAAGGCATTAAATTATATTACAAATTTAAAACATGATTTAAAATTGCGGGCAATTTTCAATTTGTACTATCAGACAATTTTAAAAATAATCCAAGGAACACAAAAGTATTACAGGGTGTTCTACTAGTTATAAATGGAAACAAAATCCACTTTGCACCACTATGTCATTACTGCCATTAAAACATTACAATAATTGGTAATTTGACAGTGTATTTAATAAATATTAACATACATGCTGTACCCGATCAATCACTTTACTAGTGCTACATTCATCCATGACATATTCATAATCTAGAGTGAATCATCCATAGGCCTACCAAAACATTATCAGCGACAGATGAATCCTACAAGATGTATACATTCCAAAGCAAACGTATTTGTGGTTGTGTTCTACTCATGTAGTTGTATACAAAAGTCAGAAAATTAAGGAAGGGATTGAGGAAATCTATTTCTGACTCTTCTCAGTTTTACGAACAATGTGCATTACCTTTAATTGTCTTCTGTCTTGATTTCTCTCTATCTCTTTGTCTCTCTCTCTCTCTCTTTCTTTCTCTCTCTCTTCCTCTCCCTCTCAATTCCATTTGCAGTGTTTCACTGCCTCGCCAAGGGAAGAGATATTTTGGTTGTGGCTCAGCTCGTTTGTGGTTATGGCTGCCGCTGAGAGGAGGCTGAGTATCCGACCGAGCCGAGGTGTTGACAGGTCGGCTCCTGGCCCCCAAAAGCCCCCAACAAATTGTCCTCACAGGAGGGGGCCCTAGGGACTAGTCCTATGCGGAGCGCGTCCCCGGTTAATATGGAACCACTCTTAAAATGTGTCCGCAAAAGTCACAAGTCACACATTTACAAGCAGGAACAACATTTGAAACAAAGATGAGATTAATCCTACACTTGTTAAACAAAAAGGATATTTCTGGTTTCGATCAAGATATTGATGTTCAGAGAATTATTTCGTGATGTTGATGAAATCAACAATGAAATCATGACAATGCACAATTGTTCAGTCAAAGTGTAAATGAACAGACATACAATACAATTAGAACCAGTCATGAATACCTCATCCCCAAATATGGGTCTTCATCTAGTTCTCATTTCAAATGATGCCAAAACCTCTGTTTGACTTTAAGGCGTTTCATTGTTTTAACATTTCACAAGATCCTGTTCATAAAAGTTACTTCGGTGAACATCCCATACGTGTTAAAGATGAAGTTGAGTTCTGGTCATGCGATTGCATTGTGAAAGGAACGGTGTGAAATCGACCAGTAAAGGTTGATCATCTAGCATATAAGAATATGTGTGTATTGCAAGGTTCTGGAATCATCAAAATGATAAGAAATTTGGCCAAGTCTTAGTAAAGTTACAAACACTATACACAGAAAGATGTATATGGGACTA